TGAGAGCGAGTCCGAGTCTGGGGCAGCTTCCTGCGATGTGGATGAGCCAGAGAGCAGCAGCCCGATTAGTTATTTAGGCAACGAACACACACAAGACACGCTGCCTGGCGAACCAGCCGATACGAGTAGCAAAACCATACAGTCGATTGACGAGCCGAATAACCCAGACTCTGAATTGGCGTTCGCCTTACCATCGGCGGCATCAACAGGCATGAAATCCCCTGGAGATCTGAGCCCGACAGCCTTTCACCAGCCAGAGGAAAACGGGTACATGAAGTCGCCATCGTCGGTGAGCCTGGACAGTGCCAAAGGAATGTCGATAGTCACCGATCCGGGCTGGCCCACCTATCAGGTGGGTGATCTGTTTTGGGGCAAGGTTTTTACCTACTGTTACTGGCCGTGCATGGTGTGCCCGGATCCGTATGGTCAGATTGTGGGCAACCCGCCAGCCCATCCACAGCGCACATCCACGGACAACGCGCCCGTGCCAATTCAGGTGCATGTTCGCTTCTTTGCCGACAACGGACGCCGCAACTGGATTAAGCCTGAAAACCTGCTGACCTTTGCCGGACTCAAGGCATACGAGGATCACCGCGAGGAGGTGCGCATCAAGCATGGCAACAGGAGCGGCAAGTACCGAACGATGGTGCCCAAGCGGTCGAAACTTGACGTCTGGCGGCAGGCCATCGATGAGGCCAAACTAGTTGCCGAGGTGCCCTATCCCGAGCGACTGGAGAAATTCTATAAGATTTATGAAAGCGTTGTGTGAGTGCAGACCAAAGAGAGAGATGCAGAGATCGAAGCTAATCAATGTCCATTTCAGAATCCTTAACAAGCAGAAGCGGAAACGTACTAACTCCATGGCGCAGGACACGTCGGATGTGGGTAGCAGCCTGTACGACTCCACAGACAACTTGCACGCCAAACAGCATCTTCAGTTGATGAGCGTGAAGCGTGAACGCTCGGAGACGCCGGTAAGTCCGGCCTTCTCGCCCGTGAAGAAAAGTCAGAAGCGAACCAAGCGGCGAAAGCTGAGCCAGGGAGCTGAGGCGGAGACTGGCAGCATGCCATCGCAGGTTGGGGGAAGTGCCGAGAACAATGTCACTACACCGATTTCGGAAATCGAAGAATATCGTCACCTATTCGATATCATCCAGGAATATGTGATTGTCCATCGGCACGACGAACAAGTGGACAAGGTTCTTCGGGCCATAGTTGGCAATATCTGGTCATTGAAGCAGCTTCAATTGCGCGAAAAAGACCGAGAGTTGGCTTGCGCAGCAATTTATCTGAATCGGGAGCTCGACTCGGCCATCGTTCAACGTGAACGCGGCGCCGGCAGCACCCAGCGGCTATCCAATCGCCTGAGAACGCTGGTGGAGCGACGGAGCCGTACGCCAGTTGTTACGCCAAGTGGTACGCCGACACCCAACAACAACAGTGGTGAGGCAGTGGCACTGCAGAGGCGACACTCGGAATTGCCAAAGACCAAAAAGCCAGTGAATCGACCCATCGAAGAGGTTGTCGACGATATATTCCAGCTGGACAGCAAGTACCTCTTCCGCGGCCTTAACCGAGGCTCCGTCTGTAAATATTGCTACAAGCCCGGCTCGAATCTGCTGCAGTGCTCGCGTACCTGCCACAGCTGGATGCATGCCGGTTGCCTGGAGAGCAAGAAAAGTGGACTGCCCATAACCATAAAGAACGGAACGAAGCTTAAAGGCTTAGAAGGTGCATCCTCCTCTACCTCTACCTCACCGTCGCCCGTTCCAGAAATTGAACACATCACAGGCGACGCTCCTGACGCTTTAGCCACTGTCGCTACGCCTACCATTGAGGTGATCTGCCATGAGTGCAATATTGATGAAGATGCAACCTGTTGCATTTGTCGCCAAGTCTTGCCGCCCAAGTACCCCTCACCGACACCCGGCTCGCCGCTGAAGGAGCCAAGCGAAGCAAAGGAACCCCGACTAGTGGACGGGACGATGATAACGTGTGGCCAAAATATGTGCGGCAGGAAATTCCATGCCGGATGCTGCAAATACTGGCCACAGGCGATCGTCAGCAGCTCCCTGACCCGCTGCCCGCTGCACGTATGCCACACGTGCGTCTCGGACAATCCCCGAAAATTCCTACCGGTAGGCAGCTCGAAGCTAACACGATGCGTTAAATGCTCAGCCTCGTATCATCAGGACTCGCGCTGCATACCCGCCGGCAGTCGTATGCTGACCACCACGACCCTCATCTGCCCCCGCCACAATGTGGCCAAGACCGATGCCCATTTGAATGTGCTGTGGTGTTTCATATGCGTCAAGGGCGGGGAGCTGTTGTGCTGCGAGACCTGTCCCATTGCCGTGCACTCGGGCTGTCGCGATGTACCGATCGAAAAGCATGAGAACTACATATGTGAGGAGTGCGAGAGTGGACGGCTGCCGCTCTATGGCGAGATCGTCTGGGCAAAGTTCAACAACTTTCGTTGGTGGCCAGCCATAATTCTGCCACCCACCGAGATACCCCACAACATTCTGAAAAAGGCGCATGGCGAAAGTGAGTTTGTGGTGCGATTCTTTGGCACACACGACCACGGATGGATACCACGTCGGCGTGTCTATCTGTACATCGAGGGGGATAATGGGGAGAAGCTGAAGCCCAAGTCTCAGCTGCACAGGAAATTCTACAATGGCATAGAGGAGGCCACGCGCTTTCTGAAAATCACCAAGGCCAGGCGCCATGAGCAGATGGTAGCGCGCGGCATCAAGGTAAATCCACCACCATACGTGAAAATCAAGATGAACAAGGCAGTGCCGCCGGTGAAGTTCGTGACCAATTCGGATGAGCATAGCACATGTGATTGCCGGCCCGAGGATGAGCATCCTTGCGGCTCAAACTCCAATTGCCTCAATAGGATGCTGTTCAACGAGTGCCATCCGGAATACTGTCTATGCGGCGACCGCTGCGAGAATCGGATGTTCGAGACCCGCAAATCGCCTCGCTTGGATGTTGTCTATATGAATGACCGAGGATTCGGACTGGTCTGTCGTGAACCCATCGCCGAGGGCGATTTCGTCATCGAGTACGTGGGAGAGGTGATCAATCAGGAGGAGTTCCAGCGGCGTATGCTCGAGAAGCAAACGGATCGGGACGAGAACTTTTACTTCCTTGGCTTGGAGAAGGACTTTATCATCGATGCCGGCCCAAAAGGAAATCTCGCACGGTTCATGAATCATTCATGCGAGCCCAACTGCACAACACAAAAATGGACTGTCAACTGCAACCATCGTGTGGGACTCTTTGCCATTAAAGACATTCCAGCGGTAGGCATTGAAATTGAACAACAAAAGTATTCCAGATATTATAATCATTCATCATCATTCATTTGCCCATGCAGGAAACCGAGCTGACGTTCAACTATTTGTGGGATGATCTGCTGAATGACAAGAAGAAAGCCTGCCACTGTGGCTCTGAACGTTGCTCCGGGGAGATAGGCGGCAAGCTTAAAGAAAAGGTAAAGTATTTTCTGTCTTTTCATTTAGCTTTCTCTAACATATTCACTATTTTTATGCACCACCACTTTAAAGCTAAAGCAACTGCAACGCAGCAGAACCTCTGCCATTCGCATCCAAGTACCTCCGGCCAAGAGGGCTAAGAAATCTGTGCCCAAAGTCAAGCACGTGAGCGCCGACGACGAGCCACAAGAGACTAAAAAGGATCAGTAAAACGAAAAGAAAGGAAGAGCGGATTTTGTTTTTTTTTCCATTTTTTTGGCTTTTTAGCATTTTCTATTATTGCTGTTATAGCCATTGCTATTAATGCTGGCACTTCAATGGATTATGAAGATTCATTCACTATTTTTTATTACGCGAATATTTATTCCTCACATGTTACGTTTATCGAGATATCAGATCACACAATTGTTCACACAGTCAAGAGGGCAAAGAAATCTGTGCCCAAAGTGAAGGACGGATCGGCCACAAATAGACCAAAAAAGATCAGTAAAACAAAAGGAAAATTAAAAAAAAATTTTTTTTTACTTTTTAGCATTTTCTATTGTAGCTGTTATAGCCATTGCTATAAATGCTGTCACTTTAATGGAATATGTAGAATCATTCACTATTTTTATACCCGGTACTCGAAGAGTAAATAAAATATATTCTATTTGTGTGAATAACGGTTGTATGTAACGCACAGAAGGAAACGTTTCCGACCCCATAAAGTATATATATTCTTGATGCATCAATAGCCGAGTCGATAGAGGCATGTCTCTCTGTCCGTCTGTCCGTCTTGTTTGTCGGCTAGTTCTCAGAGACTATAAGAGCTAGAGCCACCAAATGCTCACACTAAAACCAGTAAATTTAAAATCGCCCCCGGAAAGGGGCGAAAACCACCCAAACCTACAATTTTGAAGATAAAACGCCATTCCGTAGGGAATGGCTATATATATCAGATCACCACATTGGGATCCGATTGGATCATTATTATAGCCACAACGAAGAAATTAATTTCCAGTGGTTAAACCCAACCTGTCCCGCAGCTTTTGTTGTTTTTTTCACATTCTCTCATTCACACTCTGCTTCTGCTTCACTCGGCCTCTGCCGACTTTTAACCCAACCCGTCCCGCAGCTTACATTTGTTTTTTTTTTGTGTGCGGGCGCTGCCTTTGCCTCTGCCGCAAGTCTGCCGTGTGTGGGTCTAGGGAAGGGGGCGAGCTAAAGGAGCGTGTTGGTGTGAGTAGTGTTGTAGGTGTATATGACAGATGAAGACAAATTTTTAAATTTGACAAAACACCGCTAAGGTGTGCAGAAGTAGTACTGAGTGCCGGGTATAAAAGTTGTGACGCGTAAGAAGCGTCTCACACGCCCCTTCTCGTTTATTAAGCGAATATTTATTCCTCAAATGATACGTTTATCGAGATATCAGATCGGGCAATTGTTCACACAGTACAGAAAGTTCTCGCTATATTTTTGAAAATCATTTCAAAAATAAAACACGCTACGAAAGTGTAATGTTTTTAAGTGTTCTATTTGTCTAACATAAAAAATTATAAAGGTTTAATCAATCAGTTCAGTATAGTGTAGATTAATTTCTGTTCATTTTTTTAGTTTTTTGTTTCGCTTTATGCATATTAAAAATGATGTAAATGAATTTGTTCATATATTTCGTTGGTTGTTTTGTCGCTTAGCTACGGTTTAAAGCTGAGCACTTTGGTATACATACATATATATATATCGTATAACTCTCGTATGACTATAAAACTAGACATATTTTAGTCGTAAGATCCTAGGAGTATGCACTTTAATTTTAAGTGGGATATACATACTTACACTATACACACCACACCACACGGTGGAGGTGGAGCAAAAGAAACGTCGAGCGAGTCGAGTGCCAAAAATAAATCAAAACCATTCGTTTGTTAAGGGTTGTTGATCCTAAAGTAGCCATCATTTAATTTTGGCACAATGGCGCCTATCTTCTTGACAATCGTGTTGAGACTCTCCCGAGACATCTCGTACAGCGTGTTGAGAGAGATCAGGCGCATACCCTGCTGGTTGCATACCTCAATCACAGACCATTTCTCTAAAAGCTTCAGACAGTTGCGCACGGAATCCGTTGATATGCTTTCAGCTGAAAAATGGAAATCAGATATTTCTTGGATCAGTGCAAGACTGGCTCAATGCACTCACCATAGATGCAGCTTCCGCGCTTCACTTTGGCGGACAATTCGTAGATCACAAAGTTAATAAACTCAGACTCGAGCATGGAGTTGCGGTGAAGTATTTGCAGGGCTTGGGCCACCGTCAAGTATGTACAGGCAAAGGGAGCAAGCACCTCGCATATGTTGCGTTGCTGCTGAAGTGTTTCGTTTCTGTATAGCAGCTGGGGACCGCCATCGTCATCGTCATTCTCGTTGTTATCCCCACTGAGATGGTCCTCATCATCGTCGAGGTCCAAATGCTTTGCAAGCTTTCTAGCTTTACGGATGTCTTCAAACGGTATGTCCTTATCCTAAAGAAGAACGTACACATGTATAAGTAAGTTAGTGCTGAACGGTAACCTATTTAATCGTACCTCTTCTGGCAATCGAAGGTAATCGCGGAACAACAGATCGTCCAGATTCTTCTCCAGCAAGTGCTCCAATACTTGTGTCGGTTTGTTCAGTATGAACTCGTACCGATAAATCTGGGAGTTCTCCAGTGACGCTTCAATCAGCTTCTTGCGAGATACGGCCGCTGCATCCGGGGACTTGGCAAGCAGAGAATGGAAAGTTGTCATCAGTATCGAACTGAGGGCAAAGTGCGGGGCCAGTGCATTTGAGTAGTACGCCAGCTCGATAAAGCTCTCCACCGAGTCGACCGCACGAATGAACATGCGACCATTCTCGTTGCGTGTGCGGGTAACCAGACCTACAGAAATCAAGCTGCATTCAGAGAGACCTCAAAATTATATGGTGCTAACTAATAGATACCTGTGCCAAGCAGCTCGCAGGCATATTCCAACACATGTGAGGATTCGCCTGCGAACCCAATATCCTTGCAGCCAGACAATGAGTTTCGCAATTCATCCAAGGCTGCGGCCAGCAGCTGTTCCTCGGCACCCTGGCGATATCGCGTGAGGAGCAGAAAGGCCAGCGCGTTCGTGGACATCACAGATGTGGCAGCTGCACAGTCGAAGACTACCTGCCGCGAGATGCTTTCAATGAGATTTCGATGCTCTTCGCACACCACATCGGTGCCGTACAGTGAGGACGTCGATTGGTTATGTTGCAGCGGTCTGCACATCAAAATCAAATTTAAAAAGTAAAATTAACTCGAAAGTAAATGGCAACTAGCAGCGCGTACCTGGCTGCGGGCTTGTAGATCTTGGCAATGCCATCTTCGCGGGCGATTTGGTTGAACGAATTGACCAGCTCGCGTATCGAGTATGGTTCATTAAAGTCAATGCGCATCCGGCCGTACTTGGAGTTGAGTGCCTTCCAGATGCCCGAAATGGCATTTTTGAAGGACTCGGGTATCTTCTTCTCACCCTTCTGCTCTCGCACAAAGTTGCCATCGACGAGGCGTTCATAGTTGACCGAAACGGGCACTAGGAGAGCATCTGGAATGCTGCCGTCCATGAAGGCATTCACAATCACAGAGAGGATGCCGCCCTTCGGCATGCACGGCTTGCCAGTGCGCGTTCGTCCGCCCTCGATAAAGAACTCAACATTGTGCCCCTGCTTCAAAGCATGGGTCAGGTATAGGTGGAGCGCCGCGCGGTACAAAACATCCTTCTTGCCCTCCACGGGATCGATTTTGCGCTTAATGAAAAAGGCCCCAAGACCACGAAGCAATCCACCGAAGACGGGAATCTGCAGGTTATTTCCAGCGGCAACCAGAGGGCTGCGTATATCGTTGTTGGTCAGTATAAAGGTCACCATGATGTAGTCCAAGTGACTGCGATGAAGGGGCACAAATATCAATGGTGTGCCGGGCGACCGCTTCGATGCAGTTTTAAGCATTTCAATCTGTTTGGTGTTCGTCACGACGCCGGTCAGGAAGCATGGCAACAGCTTGTAGAGGATCCAAGATGTAAATGCAAGCAGGCCATTATTTAGTTTTGAGCCCATTTCCTTCAGTATGCTGATGGCACGTTGCTCCTGCTTGCGCAAAATCGCATGGTAGGATATACCCTTGCTCTCATCCTCCTCCTCTACCGCCTGATCAGCGCTAACGCTACGCGTGAGAAGTCGATGACCGTTTTGGGCATAGAGTTGTTCTCGCAGCGCTTGTTCGGCGGCTTGTTTAATGGCATGTTTGAGTGCCGGATCATTGTGAACAATTTCGGTAACCTGCAGAATGCGTGGGATGTGTGTATTTAGGTTATTTATTATTGGTGGAAACTGCGACGCGACGCTTACCTGTCGGTATTCGAACTTCTCGCTGCGAAATACCTGTGCGACATAGGGGAAGATCACGCCCCAATCAAAGTATCCTTTAAACGGTTTATAGCCCGCATGCGGCGTCAGCTCCAGCATGTTCTGGGTGCCAATGCCATGTGCGACGGAGCTTTGCACTGTTGGCTCCTACAACGAGAACGATCAGAGAACACCGCGGTGATGCAATTGCCGTGCATATATTTGATGTTCGTGAATGAAATGTTACCTCGAACCAGCCACGAGCTTGAAATCCATCCAATGCCATTACAAATATGAGATTCTTTGTTACACACTGCCAGTAATATGAATTCTAAGCTAGAATTATAACATTTCTTGCGCGAAGCAGCGCCCGGCTTTTTATTGCAACCAATCGAGAGCCGATAGGGAGTGCGGCTATCGATTGCGACAGGTCTTGTTATTGCCGGTGGGGGACTAGGTGGCAACGCAGTAGCATATAAATTCAAATCTAGAGCAAAATCTTTCCCATTATTTGTAATTCATTGAATGGAAATTCGTTATCAATGCACTGATAATGCATTTGCGTCACAGCTTTGAACTGAGGTAGGGTTAAAATGATGACTGTGATTGATGGGTGGTTGCAAAACTTACATTCGTTGAACGCAGCGTTACCAAAAGATCGCTGCGAATGGTGTTGATCTTCCCCAAAGACGTGCGATAGCTCAGATTCAAATTGGGAAACAAGTTGGCAATAATGATGGGTGCCCTGCACAACAAAATTATCAATTATCAATTATTATATTGCAATCTACTTGGTCTCCAATTAACCACCGATTGCTTCAAATCAGTAGCTCGCAATTAAATATACAACACCTCTTTCGATTGCACAGGAGGTCTACAGTCCAACTGTGTTTGAGTTCAATAGCCTATACATTCTTCTGCACATGTGTATGTACAAATGTATGTACATGTGTGAATTAAAGTTAGTATATGTACATTTTAAAGTAAGTGCTTGTGGTAGCGCTGCTGATAAGTGTATAGTTGCTCATAAAATATGGCACAGAATTGAACTTTGCGCCGCCATTGTTGGATTGATGGATGGAATCATCAAAATGAAAAATCAGCTGATGCTACTTTGTGTTGCTACTAAAAAAAATTATAAAAACGCACATAAACCAGATAAATGTCGCCAAACTTTGAATTTTGCCGCTGAAACAGTGCTACCAGATGATGTCTTAGGATAGCTGTGCTGCCACATCATTGCAGATATCAAGATCCGTTAGAATTCTCCATTCTACATAAAACCACGCCATTCAAAAGTTAACTAAATCTTAAGAAAGTGCGCAATGTTTCGTGTGCACTGCAACAAGTGTTCGAAGAGACGAGATATCGAGCCGACCATTCCATTCCAATTGACGCGATGTCATCACATTATCTGCGGCACCTGCCTCGCAGGCTATGCTGCCGAAAAGAAGTGCCCAATGTGCGGGCACCAACTGCAGACAATCAACATTAGTCGGGACATGCCCATCAGTGTGGCTAACTACTTTCAGGATCCCACCAAATTTCTCCAGCTCTACCGGAAGATAAGCAAGTTCCAGAGCGAGCAAAGAGCATTCGACAACCTTCATTTCTTGCGCAGAGAGGAGCGATATAACGACTTGCATCTGAAGCTGGACGGCTACACCAAAATGGAGGCTCAGCTGAATCAGCAAACAAAGGTGGAGAAGAAACGCATCGCCGAACTACGCGAGTACATTGCATTTCACGAACGTCCGGGGGTGGACAGCTTGGACGGCAGCTTAAGTTCAAGAGAATACACTGCAGGCGGCAGTCGTAGCCGTAGCCGTCCCCGAACTCCCTCGGACCACACTACGTCAGAGACCACGCTATCGGATGACTTGTTGGAGAGTTTCTGCTTGGACTCGGAAGTAGACTTTGGAACAAAGAAATCAAAGCATAATCCAATGTCCACATCGATGCATCGTTCATCCAGCCATAGCCATGACCAAAATATTCAAATGTAATTTTATAGAAGTGTAGTGTATTCATAGGTCGTTAGTCGGAAACATTACAAAATATCATCTCATGCTCTGGAAAATTTCTTATGGGATAAGCCAAGTGTTTTTGTGCTCTAAATATACTGTGCAGGAACGCTGCGGGCGTAGTCGACCTGGCGTGACATTCGATTAGGAGCAATATTTATGGTTCCAAGCCAATTTTAGAAGCCTTTCTACCGATATCAGATGCGGTACTTCACAAGGCCTACGCGTACTACTCTTTGTGACTCTCCAACGAGATGGGTTTATGGCGGGGGGCGAATGCGAGATAGCTTTACTGCCCGATTAAACATCCAGAAACGTAAATAATAATACGAGTAATTCCGAAGTCCTAATCAGATAATTGAGCGCTAATTTTACAGTCCACAATCTACACACATATGGAAAATACACTTTTTAATTACGATAATGGTTGCCAAGAGTATTCCGCAAGTATTCGAACGGATTGTATTGGATTGTTGCTATCACGCAGTTGTTGCAACAAAGACGGGGGCAGAGCCCCTGCACTGGGAAAGCAGGAAGGAAAAGTACCATGACAGGTAAAATCAAAACGAGATGATCCCCAGAGCATTCTCACAGCCTCACTCCTTCGTTTAAACCCGCAACCGGCGTATTGTTGGCACGTGGATGATAAGCGGAAATTTACATTTGTGGCTTGCGCGAAATAAAATATGCAGACGGAAGGGCTAGCGATGTGAGTCAGACGGTGCGGCAACCACCTGCTCGGCGACAATATAAACAACATGCCCATTTAGCATGCATTGGATAGTCCACCCCGCACGACCCCACGTTCGCTACTATAAATAACGGCGCTTCTTCTGCCCACCTGCGTCACAGAGCACATTACTTGAACTTGGCAGAAGAGGAACATGCATACATATGTACATACATACAATACATATCACATACATATGTACATATGTACAATACATATCACATACATATGTACATATGTACAGTAGGTATTACTATTTGGATTTATTTGGCTTCCATCCACAGCCCACAGCCACCAACACTCACCTCGTTTTCGCAAACACATAGTAGACGATGAGTGCAACTGATGCAATCTCTATGCCGCCGAGCAAAGAAATCTCAGCGACACGCTGGGCAAAGTTCAAGACAGTCGATAGCATGGTTATGCTGCTTCCCTTGCCTTGTCTTGCCTTCGTGCGGCTTCAACGAAATATGTATTCAATCAGCCGCTGGCCAAGTGATCGGAAGTGCGTGGTGTCTCAGTGTAGATGTGGTCCAGTGTCCAGAGATGTAAGCCAGCGTCCCTTCCTAGTTAATTATCGCCCAATGGGTGCAAAATATTGTAGATGATATGATGCCGTGTCGTACCGATTGCTGCTGAACAAACAATAACAAAACGGCGCGCATTGAGCGTTGTTCCAGCGACGACGCTCTCTCCTCACTCTCACTCTCTCTCCCGCTCTCGCTGATGCTTTCTGATAGCTTTCCTCCTCTCCGCTCCCTTCCTATGATGGTGGGGGTTGTATTATTGCGTTCTACTCGAAATATAACCAGACATCGCCCGTAGTGTCGCGACCCGCCATTCGGCATGCAAAAAAAAATATCGTATGATTCTGCGAGTGTGTTTTGCTTTATTCCGGTTTTGGTTTTTATTTTATATTGTTTTAATTTCTCCGGCACGAGATGAGACGATACGATGACAGCTAGAAGCACCTTTTGGCTAGTAGCATCCACTAAACCGCAGCGCAGAAATAATTGCTTAAACAGCTGGACTTGTGCAGTCTTTTAAACCGGTTTTCACTCTGCTAGTCGCCCTCGCCCTCGAGTGTGTACTTTTCTCGCTGTTTCGTAGTTAATTGAATAAAATTCGCGTCCTTTCTTTTGCCTTTGTGCTGAGGACGGTGCTTTATGCGCGACAGAGGAGCGTCGGACCGAGCGGTTCGAGTGAACACAGTGGAATAACAGTGGCCGTCCACGGTTGACGCTTAATTAAATGCCAATTAACGTGTGACAGTAAGTATGTATGCGCTAGGCCCTACACATGCCACATACATATGTTACGAGTGTACTTCTATATACGATGACCAAGATCGGCGCTGCACGAAGATAACCACAGCCGATTCCGTGGCATCCCGAAGGCAGCTGATGCTGGCGTTATCACCAAAGTGTGCTGGCACATAGAGTGGTCGTGGTGCGGGCATGGCTGATAACAACCTGATACTGATGGCTTCTCTCAACAGAAGAGAGAGGGAGTGAGAGCAAAAGTAAATACTTATGGCCTAAGACTAAATAGTTTAATCAGTAATTACTTTCGCACTGTATTATGAATAAAATTCATACAACTTTTGTTATTTATTATATAAAAGAGTGTGTCTGCATTACTTGGGGGAAAGTAAGTTTACTTCTTGGCCGCTGGCTTCTTGGCGGCGACCTTCTTCTTGCGGGCAGCCAGGAGCTTGGCGCGGTTGGCGGCAGCCTTTGTGGCGACATTGGCGAAGTGCGACTTGGCCAGCTCGACGTTCTGTTTCTTGGCCTTGGCCAAAACCTTTGCTACGGTGCGCTTCTCGGCAGCCAAAGCGGCACGGCGCTTCAACACCTCGGCGTATGGGTTCAGCTTGATCAGCTGGCGCACGTTGGTCAATGGGTTCAGGCGGCGGACGCTGCGGAACACGCGCTTGCGGGGATCGCGCAGAACCTTGCGGATCTCCTCCGACTTCAGCAGACGGGACAAGTCAGTGTTGGCCATCTTGGGCTGGGGCAGATTGTAGCCCTTCTTCAAGGTGGCTGGCTTCTTCCAGGTGCCGAACAGATCGTTCAGGCGCGAGAACGCAGACTCGGTCCAGATGACAAAGCGACCGACATGACCTCCTGGGGCGAGCTTCAGCAGGTTCAGCTTGTCGACATTGATGGTCTCGATGCCGGGGATGTTGCGGAACGCCTTTCGCAGACCCTCGTCCTTGTGGTAGACGACCAGGGGACCACGGCGGGCAACGCGGCGACGGTCGCGCATGGTACCACGGCCAGCACGGAAGCGCTGCGACTTGTACACCTGTGAAAGGTCACAAAAAAGCAAATTAGTTTTAAAATACTTATTTGTTAGCTAGAGTACATGCTAAAGGTGGGCTGTGGCCCTCCACTGCAAACGTTTGCAACTTTGAATCAGGTTACACTCGTAACGCCTAGGAGAGCAGTTGTTCTGGCAACGCATCAATGCTCCAAGGAGCCCGTAAACAAACTGACAATCAGTCACAAGTCAGTTGTTTACACGTTGCTGAATTGGGTTGGATTTGATTTGACTTTGTACCCACCTTCTGGATGTCAGCCCAGATCTTCAGGCGACGCAGGAAGATGACAGCCTGCTTGGTCTTCTGCAGCTTCTGGACTTCATCGGAGACTACCAATGGGAACTCGGAGACACCGTCGATGATGTGACCCTTGGACTGCACGAGGGCGGGCACGCCGGAGGCGGCGATGGCCGATACCAGAGCGTAGCGACGCTGGTTGACATTCACCTTGCGGTGCCAGCGACGGTAGGTCTTGGTGGGGGCGAACATGCGTCCACCACGGCACATGTTGCCGAAGGCACCCTGGCCGGAGCGGTGAGTACCACCACCACGGACACGGGGAATACGTGCGACGGCACGGCCTGTACCCCAGGACTCGGCAGAAGTTTGGTGACCTGAACAAAACAAAAACACAAAATTATTTTCCTTGTTTACGTCAAGCATTCAGATGTCAGCCACTTACCAGCAAGCTCGCTCACGGCGTACGGCTGGCGGTTGTTGCGGCGCAGCAGCTGGTGCACCTCGTTGACCACATCCGGACGGATGGGTGCCTTAAACACCGCTGGCAGGCAGATGTTCTTATCCTTGGCAGCCTCATTCTTTTCCGTGTACACGGAGACCAATGGCCTGGCGTTGCCTAAGCTCTGTAAACATAAACCAAAAGCGTCCGTTTAAACGTGTCCAAAACCATAACATGGCACACCACCACCGCCGCACACTACACCACACTCAACCACACAACACGTGGAGGTTAGGCTGAATTTCACAACACAATTTCACTGTTTTCGCACTGCTTTGTGTGTAAAACCCATGCTAATGAAGCTTGCGGCGGCCCACGCACTTATGTTGCACACTTTCTCACCATGTTTGTTGATTTTTAAGCCCAATAAATGGTATTAAAGATTCTGCAAATGCAGATACCGTCCTCTTTTTATTAAGAAGAACGAAGAAAGAAAGAGAGCTGCCGGAAATGGCCGAAAAGTGCTGGAAAACGCCTTTTTTGGCAGGGTTGCAATACTCAACTGTCAAATGGAGTTATCGTATTACAGTCGATAGTTGTGAGTAATGATCGCACAAAAAGATCGATAGTTGCTAAAAACATGTAAAATGGCCAAGAGGAGAGATTACAATAGAACATCAAAATCGAGAAATAGTGATGTATATGTAAGTGTGAACGTATATTATTTTAGGTATATTTCTGTGCTCGATGAGAAGAGAGAGGAGAGAGTATTTTGCTCTTTTGCTGACCTAATCCTCTCTTTGCTGAAAATCCTCTCTTTGGCATGTGGCCGCAAGGTATGGCAAGTAGGTAAGAAAGGACGAACTTTTCAAAGCTCCCACCTTTTTCGCACCTGTTGAAGGATTCATGTAACATGACATGAACGATTTCGTTTGTATGAAATAAATCAAGGGGGATGAAATCGCCGTGTAATTTACCTGGCGCCACTGGAATTTTTGTGACGTATTTACCTTAATTTTTGGTGCAAATTTCGCACCATGAAAGCTCCCTTGGTTTGTTAAGGGAATTTAAAAGCACTTTTCCTTTGCGAAGGGAATTTGAAAAACTAATGAGACAACTAATAAAACTGAATATAAAAAAAAAAAAATAAAATATATTCATTTTGGAATATGGAAAATATATAGAATATATAATTTATTTATTTTCAATTAAGAATTAACTGTTTATTAAGGAATAACAAGAGTAATAAATGTAAATATAAATTAAATATTTATATTTCTAAAATTATGTCAATCCACGTATATCGGTATTCGGTAGTCCCAGTTCAGATTTCTAAGTATTACCCATTGGTTGAATTCATGCAAAATAGTGTGCTCAGGCCATGCAGACGGTTACAAGAGAATCGGGAAGAAGAATTTTGAATGATTAGAAATTTAGTTATAATGAAGTTATCAGGCGGCGATTTGAGATTAGAGCTTAGATGTAGTTTGACATCTTTCGGTGTGGCTTCTGGTATAAGACGAGAGACAAAGATTGCTTTGCGGAGGAACACTGTTCCCTCTCTTGTAGGTGATAATATACAAATAAAACAAAAGAAAGAAAATCTAAGAAATCGGTGATTAGCCAGTGATAGCCGGTGATAATAATGATTTTTTCATCTGTTTCCGCAACTCCTCGCAACCAGTTCGGAATCAAAATCTCTAAGTAAAAAGCCAAGCTGGTTCGACCGAGTCTACAAATTCATTTTACTTATACAAATTACTAGTTGCTCCCGACCATAAGCCGTTTGCGCTCATTTGGCGTAAGCATCATTATTATCCGGTGTTCCTTAGCTAAAGAAAGGAGTAATTACAATGTATAAACCGAAGCTTACCCCCAATTATGTTGTAAAGATAGAAGAGCTGCACCCCAAACCACTCCGAGCTTATTATAATATTTACTTATGTTTCCCTTTCAGGAAAACAATAGAGTTTCTTATCTTATTGTTTTGCGCGCGCAGTTTTTCATACATGTTTCATACATCTTACATGTGTCTCTACATGTTACATACATTTACATACTGAACACAAATCACCTATGCTTCCAGGGGTGATTTTAATGGAACATTGAAATACAAATTTGTAAAATAAAAAGTCGTAAGATATACAATCCAAAAAAAATGTGTTTAAACTACTTCTAATTGATTTTTCTAACGGATTCAATTATTGTTTTAGTGTTAAGAGCCTTTACAAAATGGCCAAGAATAAGTCGACGGTGTACCTGGGATACGAAGATGAGGAGATTACCATTAAACAGGAGCAATTACTGAATAGCAGCACCAACAAAATAGGTGGCCTGCCCGTAAGTAACTCACTCAGAAGGCACAGCACATGTAACTGTGGCTGGGGCCCCCGAGGCCAAGAGCGTTGATAATTAAAATTGATTTTTACACACAGGACTGGCCCAGGCATGAGGTTACGGTGCCCGCCTGCCCGCTGTGCGGTACGGTGCGTCCGTTGATAGTGCAAATGTACGCGCCGTTGGATCGATCTCAGTTTCATCGTAATCTCTATGTGTTCGGGTGTGTGAGCCCCGCCTGTTCGCAAAACCCCAAGAGCTGGGTGTGTGTCCGCACCCAGCACTTGGACAATCAGTTTGATGTGATTTCTGAGCAATCGGCCAAGACAACGGCAGCGCCTGCCAAGTATAAGAAGAAGGCCAAATCCAGTGGACCAGTGAACTGGTGCAGTGGAGCCGATGATTGGGGCGACACTGAAGGCAGCAGCGGTGGCAACGGGCACAACGATGTCTCGGAGAGCATGGACGAGGCTATGGATATGACAGCCGACGACGAGCAGAATGAGCGGAATGGGAATGTAAGGCTGAATGCATTGCAGTACGCCAAGGGAGGAATGGATATGGAGGAATGTGTGAAGCAGGAACAAGTCAAGATTGGTGACGATGAAGACGACGAAGACGAGAGCACATCTGTGGAAAATGAGTTGGTTTGTGGCTTCAATCAAATCGACATGAACTCGCCCCAGAATGCAGATGAGGATCCAAATGCAAACTGTGCAGCAGCGGCAGCTCCCAGTGTGGTGGACGTTGCTGGCGCTGGTGCAACGGCAACGATTTGTGCCGAAATTGAAGGTCCCGAAAATGATGTCGTCCTCGTTGATACACCAAAGAAGCCGGAACGAGACTTGATCGCTTTGCTTAAGCACACCTCAATACCGGCCACCCTGGGACCCCTCTCCCAGATCAAGGATCTCACCCTTAAGTCCTACTTCATTGCCGTGGATGTTGAGAGCAAGGTCAAGGTGGAGGAGTTTGACAACTACGGCGGCACCTTATCCATGGATCACATTCGTGACCTTTATCAGGAGTATAAGCTGAGGGATGACGACCCTGCACATTCCCCAATGGCTGGTGGTGGTGGTGCCTCATCGTCCGGCGAGCCGTGTGATGATCACGAGTCTTATGAGAAAGCATTGCCCGCCCATGGCGATATTATATTTCACAATTTTATAACAACCATTCAGCAAAATCCGGGCCAAGTACTGAGGTAAATACATCCCAGAAAACATTGCTCTTTATAAATATGAATAATAACCATAAATTCTTATAACAGGTATTCCCGAGATGCGCTGCCATTGCTGGTGGCACCGCTTAACGATCCTCTGCCCAAGTGTCAGAACTGCAAGGGCGAAACCATTTGTGAGGTGCAGCTGCTACCCACGCTGATTCCCAAGCTACGATTCCAGCACAATGGCTGCAATGTACCCATTGAGTACGGCAACGTGCTGGTCTTCACTTGCCTCAAGAGTTGCTGGGATACACCCGACCTGATGCGGTACGAGCAAATAGTTGTGCAGTCCGAATCTTAGATTGCCACCCACTCACGCTGTAGCTGCTAGTCGCAGAGAAAGGAACATTTTAAACGCAAACTGCATTCACGTAATAGAAGAGGGGGGAAAGCTAAGCTTCTCAATTGTCCTAGGAAGATTTTATGCTCTAGTCGTTAAGAACGTTGTACGCTTTTAGACATGCCGATGAAAGATAGTTGCTAAAGATATCTCGTTATTTCCACTCCACTCGAAGGTGTTGTTTGCTTTATTTCCATTCTTACAGGAACGTTTATTATAGCTTATACCAATGGTGCATCGGCGTCTAGGTGATAGCTCTTGACAGGCGAGAACCACAGCGATGGATATTTTGCTTCCGTCAGGTCAAACTCCGAGCTGGTGTCCACCTTGTTGCGTTTCTGCACCAGCGCGTAGTGCGACCAGACCAACTGGGCGCAGCGACGCTTGGGTGAGTGGCTGATGCGCAGCTCAATCAGAAACTGCGTGGCATTCGAGTCCTCGTCCAAAGGCATGACGCTGCCACGTCTCTGGCGCAGATGCCCTGTGGTTGGCCTCGACTGTGATGATTTTTGCAGCACCAGAGTCACTGTGTCACCAAAGAGCCGGTAGCGACCACGCAAAACATCTGGACGTATGTTGTGCACATTCCGTATCTTGGTGACACCCTGCGCTGGCTCGTCGGCGCTGGTCATCATGAGAACCTTGCCATCGGGCATAAATCGAATATAGCGATAATACTCCACCAGCTGGACAGGTCGATAGAATTGGTCCTGGAAACTGTTCTCGCCCATTCTCAGGTACGTGGTCTTGCTGATGTAACATCCGCTGAAGTTAACTCTTTCCCGCCGAATAAACATGTCGCGCCAGGAGTAGTAGACGGTGGAATTCTCAGCATCTTGGGCATCCAAAGTACCAATGCTGTGGCCCCAAACTCTGCAAGCAAACAGATTATTAGATGTGAGCATAAAATGTGCATGCATGGACCTACTTTACACATGCCAGTCGCCAGAGCTCCTCGTCGCGTGCATACACATAGAAGCCTTTGCAGACAGCGGAGCATTGTTCCAGTGAGCGCATATCCAGCTGGGAGGATACCACCCAGCGCAGAATTCGCATCACAATTTCGGGCGGCAAATCAGAGATGTGTAGTCCGGTGGAGAGAACACCGGGGTCGCGGCTAGATGCCATTAGCTTGCCTTTGTACGCACTATCTTGGCGTAGATCATGCTGGAACTTTTCATACAAGTTGTCAATCAACTTGTGGTCGCCTTCTGTCCCTTCGGCCTGCTGCTGCCCGAGATCAAGTTGCTTGGAGAAGTCGTTGGCCAGATTGTGATACTTTTTGTTGACCTCATTGTTTAGTTTCTGCTGCTCATAGAACTTGAACTCAATATCGGGCACAATCTGCGTGGCTTTGCGGTAGAAAGGTATTGCGTCGTAGACCTTGCCTCTCTGCTCCAGCTGCACGGCCGTGCGGTACAGACTCTCCGCTTTGGCCTGCAGGAGATCAGCCTCACTGGCATGTACAGTTGAACCGGTGTCCGCCTGTGTGTGCTCCGCCTGCACTTGTAGCTCCCGCTGCCAACTCTCGCGAAACTCATCGAGAGCACTTACGCCCTGACCTTGAGACTCTGTCTCTGAATCCACGTCCGACATAGTTGCAGACACTGTGCAGGTAATAGAAATAAGTTATACATAAATCGCCACTTAATCCTGACGCAATTTCTAACCTGAAAGATTTTTAGTATTTGTTCCTGGACCCCTTGGAAGATGAAACCGAGAAAAAGATGTTGGCGAGAACTGTATTTATAATGAAGGGCCGCGCGTATTGCTGATAGTGGCCGCGGGTTTCACCCCAGAATCTTGATGTAGTTTTCGACTGGGTGCAACATGTGGCCATTGGTAAGACCCCTAAGATTAAATTTAATTAGATAAAACGGTAACTTTATCTGTAAAACTATGTTGTTTTTTCGGTGAATGTAATGGTACCGAATGGTACTACGGTATCGAGACGATGATTTTCGAATTGCGCGATGTGTCCATCGATATATTATATCGCTCGAATTAAGCGCATTTAATCACCGAAAAGCTTGGAATAATAATATTTTTAGTTATCTGAACATTTAAATATGTTGTAAATATATAGTTTGATGGGTTTGCCGCCCTGCCATGTAGCGATGAGCAGAATTACAGGTCAGCAGAAATCAGTGTCCATGAACGATCACTTGTTCGAACGTTCTATCGATATCGAAACAGCTGAATTCAACGAGGTGGTTTTTTGTTTGTTATTGTCCAGCCGCACGAATCGAATTTTAAAACAATCAAAGGAAATTACTATAGCAATTATGTCTGCGGACTACGCTCACCTGTGCTCTGCGATTGTGGAGCAGTGCTTCGGAAAAGTGTCGCAGGCGGTGTCGGACTGTTTGTTTTCGGCGACCACGCGGACCTTGTCGCAAATCGCAAACGCCACAAAGTTTTCCCGCAAGGAGGTGGGACTAGCACTGTCGGTGCTAATTAAGTTTCGTTTGGTGAGCTTCGAAGCATCCAAGTTGAATCCATTTGTGCCAGAATACTCTCTTAGGCGCCAAGATATTCTCTGCCTGCTGCGTTACCCGCGGTGAGCTATAGACATCACACCACAAAATACGGCATTTAAAAAACTAGCCAGAACTCCTTTCAGTTACATACATATGGTGCAAACGAAGTATGGAAACGTTGGTGCATCCATTGCAGAGGAGCTGGTCAACGCTGGCTCGGATACCGCGAGCGCTATATTGATCAAGTGTCTATCAGAGGGAGACACAAAGTCGGATGGTGCCGAGTCCTACCGCAACACATTTCTTCAAATGATAACCGATCATTACATTATAAAGAGGCCGGAGCTAATATTGTCGGAAGAGCAGGATGAGGTGATGCCAAAGTTTGAGAGCAACGAGTGCGACTATTTCCGGCATCCCAACATTGATCTTCAGCTGATAGAGAAGATCCGCAGAGGCGAGGCCACATTGGCAGAAGCCGGCGACAGTACCATGATTTGGAACATCAACTATGACCGCTTCCATCAGGACTTTCGGGACTCCATTATGATAGACTCCATCGAACGCAAGCTGGGTGAAAATGCTTCCGAGTGCTTTCGCTTCATATTGAAGATAATGTACAAGACAACGGATCCTTGGCAGCGCGTGGGTACAGAGTTTTATATTGTCTTAAAGCACGCATAAAAATAGTTCCTTTATTGCTACCCACAGAAACTTTCGAACCAAATCACATTTGTTGACATAAAGCAGACAATCGAGAAGAAATCAAACAATCTGGATCTTATGAAGCACTTGGATCAGTACATAAGTTTATTAAGTATTATCAATCTGTCAGAGAGATTTGCATATGTGTGTAACATATTTTGTTGAACCATTTTAGCTGACGACTCCCTTGGCTTCCTGCGCAGAGTGGGTGACATGGGCGGCGGACTGTATGTTGTGGATATGGAGCACGCATTTCAATCGCTTGCCTTTGCGTGCATCGAGTCTGTGATTACTGAGCGTTTTAGTTCGAAGGCGGCACGCATATTTCGAGTAATACGTTTCAAGAAGTTTATAGAGCAAGAGGATCTACAAAAAGAGGCCATGATTCCAGCCAAGGAAGCCAAGTCGCTTGCCTACAATTTGTTCCAGGAACAGTTTATACACGTCAAGGCGATCAAGAAAGCTGGTGGCGGTGGCAATGGTCTGGCAAAGGCGTTTTATCTTTTTCAGATCAAGGAAAAAGATGTAAGACCATTAAGACACTTTTAACAGATTCATAATAAATTATTTTCTAACGTTCTAATTGTAGTCTGTGAGAATGTTACTGGACATTTGCTACAAGTCGCTCTATAACACCATTGAGCGTTCAAACTTTGAGAAGAATGAGCACAAGGGTCTTATAGAAAAATCACAAAGACTGGACAGCATAGTGGAGACCATGAAGGAACGCGGAGAATCTGACGAATACATAGCTGAGGTAACTCTAGGCCTTCCTACTACCAATACAAAAAAAGTCTTACGCTTTGTGTTTCAGATTGTGGAAACATTCACACCACCAGAAGTGGAGATCCTTAATAAGGTCAAACACCGTATAAAGACCTTGTCGAAGGCTGAACTGACCATGGACCAAACCATCTTCCTGCTGCAAATGTATCAGCATCATTGTACAATTTTACCAACGGGCATTGGAAAATATAAATAATAATCGAAGAGCAAACAAAGACTTAGTTTCGGGGATTTCTTGTTTTTTAAAATACACAAAAATGCGATTGAACTGACTGCACGATTAATCACAGGCTATTTAAATATAAAATGCTTAAAGTGGGGTATTATTCCGGCGTAATTACGCTACGCTTTCGATGCACGATCCGCTGTTCCCGGTGTGCCTTTTGCAATTTGATAAAGTGCTGTTCCAGAGCATCAAAATCGATCCCGCTTTTGTACTCCAGCGAGTTTCGCTCATCGCTAAGGAAAAGATAGGAAACAGTGATGTAAGTAGCTACAAGTTGGTGTATATTCAATCAACTTACATGCGATCCTGGCCCCAATAGTTGGGCACACACTGCAAACGGTTGCGAAGCGTGTCGAAGGCCTCCGTTTGCGGCAACAGCATGAGAATCCCGAACAGAGCGTGCGCCAAATATTGTGCATCGGCGCCATTGTTCGCCTTCGATACGAGCGTCAGTCGCAGTGGTGCAAATATTGGCGATTCGATCAACTGCACAAGTTTATCCAGTTCGTTCAGCAGTTCCAGGGTCACCTCAACGTCACCACTTGAGTGGAGAAATGGTAAGCCAAAGGGTTGTGTGGATATGCCAAAGTAACTTACAATAATACGACCAGTTGGGCGACATGTTGATAGCTTTGCGCCAGCAAGCACAGCGACAGCGTGGACACGGGGCAGTGAGCCCAACTCTTGTAGAGACACTGAAACAGATCGGCAGACTTTACGTTGGATATGTTCCGCAAGCTCGTACGCAACTCGAACAACTCCGTGGAGGTCAATAGGATAATATTAAGCAGGCGCACCACAGTGGAGGCAAACTTCAAATTGGGCACCTCCTCTGCAATGATCTCTGCAAATGTGCGATAAATGTATTCAGCATTCAGCAGCACACAGAGATTCCTGTTGAATGGACACCCAGTTAATTTTAATTGCACATTTGAGGGCCAAGAATAAATTACCTAATGATCAGGCTAGCTCTGTTCTCCAAAATTAATTTCTCTTCACTAAATAGGTTCAATAAGCTCAGCAAAAACTTGCGATAATGTGTCTTGTTGAAGTCATTTAAATCTACAAAAGAAACATCGTAAAATGTATAAGTTATGGCTTGATTTTGTGCTCACCCCTTGTGTCCTGCGAGTTAACAATCTCAGCCAGAACTGATAGACTTTGGAGCACCACCTCATCAGAGTTGTCGGCTAGCGTGGACAGGAGATTATTATTTAAATTGCTGGCATGCATGGACATTTCATTGGGAAAATTGGTAAACAAATGATGCATCCATTTCAGCACAGCGATCTTTGTGTGCATTGAATTATGCGTGAGGTACTGCGATAGCACGTCCATAATCGAACGCAAGTCAATCTTGGCAATGGTCTGCGTTTTGAGTTCCTTGGTGGAGACGAGTCGCATCATCGAGCTGTTCACTGACACGGCGCACTCCTTGATGCCTAACCAGAAAGAAAAGAAAGAAAAAATAAAAGGCTGTTAAACCTTCCACGCTACCAAATCGAATGCTTCTTACTGCGTTTCGATTCCACATTGTATTCGAGGCAGGGCAGAATGGCCGTGAATATACCACCAGCAAAGGGCAATACATTTGGGCCAAATATTTGCACGAATTCTCGTATCCAGGTGATAGCAATCGACTTGATCAGTTCGTTGGGCAACTGGGCGTGGGTGATCAGCGTGTTGATGGTGTCCTCCATGCGCACCGAAGACGAGTCGTTGCGTATTGACTTCAGAAACTGGCTGATCGTCGTCTCGCACATGCGTTGTATTTCGGGTGTGTTATCCTCGAGCATGACGAACAGACCATCCAGAATCTCTGTCAGATAGTTGACCATATTGATGTCTGGGACCGCATTCAAGATCGATATCCATGAGATTACATATTGGCGCCCAAACGCATCCTTCACGTAGATGTGCTCTCTAAGCAGTGGAATGAAAGCCTCCAGGTTGAAGGTCTGTGAGGATTCTGTAACAATATCCTTTATTGTAAGGACACTTGAAAAGTTATTCGGCGACTACTAAAGCAATGCAATCCAAAGCTTACCTTTAGCAAACGATCCAGCAGCTCGCTGCCATCCTTCACCATTTGATCAGAGTCAGTCACTAGTCGGGAGAGTGCACCGAATAGCTCTGGGAAGAAGGGTATAATAGCGGATCGGGCTACCTTGACCACATTGTACAGCGATTCACAGGCAAAGTAACGAACGCGCAAATCTGGATCGGAAAGGCAATTCAGTATGGGCGTCACAAGCTCATTGACGTACTTATCCGAGTCCTGAAAACAATCAGTAAAAATTTATGTACCAGGTTTTTGTTCTGCGACTTGTTTGTTCCATGACTAATAAACAAAAACATACCTTTCCCAGCCCTACGCCAGTGGCTGCCAGTCCGATAAGAGCCCCTTTGCGTCGATTTGCGTCCCGTGATGTGGCATAGTCATTGGACAGCACCTCAATGAGTTTACGAATCTGCCCCGAGTTGTTCTTGTGGTTGAATTCCGTCACCATTCTTCATGGTAATGCAGTGAGTGCAACAGAGTCCGGTGAAAATGTTTTGATAAGTCGTGACGAATCAGTTTGGTTTCTACGTACTTTTCGATCTCTTGCGAGGCCAATTTCCGTTTCTCGTACACCTTGTCACCCAGCGCCTTAGCGCAGGATTCGCTCAACGGTGCATAGGGTGGCTCCATTGTTTAAAACCAAATTTTAAACTTTTTAATAACAATTGTAGGCGGTTGCGAACAGTATGACCGCTGACTTATCGACAAAATATACCGCCACACCCTCAGAAATATAAATATAAACCTTTTAATTTTCATTCTATACCGTATATCCAAAAACATTTTACTCTGTTTTGATATTCTGCTTAATATTACCAGCTATTTAAGATTCTCAGCGCTAAAACTATAATTTTATACGATTGTTGAACCAATTCTGCATACGATTGGTTTTTTTATCACTTCTTTTTATTGGATTTTATATGCAATATTATTTGCAAAATAAGGCTAAAACTAAAAATATCACAAATCACAATCTCCAACACAAATTGATTTGTTTTGTGCTGTTGGGCGCACATTTTTCCGTTGGACTACTGCCGCCAATCAACCTTACTGCCAAGAACGCAGTGTGAGCGAGACAAATATATCTCTTGCTTGGTTTTCTATCCTTACTGGAACCCGCAAAATTAAAACCAAAATCAAAAAGATGTGAGAGTTCTTTAAAATAATATTATGGTTTATTTTATACCTTTCTTTAACTTAGGAATTTAAATTTGTTGTTAACATAAAACTAAAATAATTCGAGAAGCTAATACTACACATTCTAATACCAAATATCGCTAAACAATCTTATCAGTCAAACATAATATGAACTATGAAATAATTCAATGTAAATATCTCCTCTATGGCTTCGAGGTCTGACTACGATCCTTAGTCAACCTCCTCGACGGTGGGTCCAGAGTAGCCACCGAATCCACCCGCCTGCTGACCACAGTTGCTGGCTCCAGTCGCTGGACCTTGCGCCCCAGCTCCCTGCTGATGCATCTTTGTCATTATCGGGGAACAGTGCTTGGAGAGCTCCTCCATCTTGTGGTCGAACTCCTCCTTCTCGGCGGTGGTGTTCATGTCCAGCCACTTGATGGCCTCGTCGCACTTCTCCAGTATGGATGCTTTATCGGCCTCGCTCAGCTTATCGGATGCCTGTTCCACGGCCTGCTTCACGTTGAAGACATAGCCCTCCAGGCTGTTGCGTGAGGATATGCGCTGGCGCTGCTTCTCATCCTCGTCGGCGTAGCGCTCTGCCTCGTTCACCATGCGGTCGATGTCGGCTTGGGATAGGCGACCCTTGTCGTTCTGTATGGTAATGTTCTTGGCCTTGCCCGTGCTCATTTCCTTGGCAGTGACGTTGAGGATGCCGTTGGCGTCCAGGTCGAAAGTGACTTCGATCTGAGGCACTCCTCGTGGTGCTGGCGGAATTCCCGACAGCTCGAAGGTGCCCAGAGCGTTGTTGTCTTTGGTCATCGCACGCTCGCCCTCGTACACCTGGATAGACACTCCGGGCTGGTTGTCGGCGTACGTGGAGAATGTCTTGGTCTGCTTTGAGGGAATGCGGCAGTTGCGCTCGATCAGCTTCGTCATCACTCCGCCCGCAGTCTCTATGCCCAGGGAGAGCGGCGCCACATCCACCAGCAGCACGTCCTGGATCTTGCCACTTTGGTCGCCACTGAGGATCGCGGCCTGGACAGCAGCGCCGTAGGCCACCGCCTCGTCTGGATTGATGGACAGGTTGAGGCTCTTTCCGTTGAAGAACTGTTGGAGCATGCTCTGCACTTTCGGAATGCGCGTGGAGCCTCCTACGAGTACGATGTCATGGATCTGGCTCTTGTCCATCTTGGCATCGGTCAGGGCCTTCTCCACCGGCTGCAATGTGTTCCTGAACAGGTCGGCGCACAGTTCCTCGAAGCGTGCGCGGCTTATCTTGGTGTAGTAGTCGTGTCCCTCGAACAGCGCATCTATCTCAATGGTCGCCTCCGTGCTGGAGGAGAGGGTGCGCTTGGCCCGCTCGGCCGCCGTTCGAAGACGTCGCAGAGCACGTGGGTTGGAGCGCAGATCCTTCTTGAACTTGCGCTTGAACTCATCTGCCAGGTGTGTGACCAATCGGTTGTCAAAGTCCTCACCACCCAGATGAGTGTCTCCGGCTGTGGCCCGCACCTCAAACAGGGATCCCTCGTCGATGGTCAGGATGGACACGTCAAAAGTGCCACCGCCCAAGTCGAAGATGAGCACATTGCGCTCACCCTTCAGATCCTTGTCCAGGCCGTAGGCCAGCGCGGCCGCCGTCGGCTCATTTACTATTCTGAGCACGTTTAGGCCTGCGATGCGGCCAGCATCTTTCGTGGCCTGGCGCTGTGAGTCGTTGAAGTAGGCAGGCACTGTGATGACTGCGTCTGTGATGCTTTGGCCTAGATAAGCCTCGGCCGTCTCCTTCATCTTGACCAGCACCATCGAGCTGATCTCCTCCGGGGAAAAGCGTTTGTGTTCGCCCTTGAACTCAACTCCAATCTTGGGCTTGCCTCCATCGCTTACCACCTTGAATGGCCAGTGCTTGATGTCCTCCGCAATCTTGGGATCGTCGTACTTGCGGCCAATGAGGCGCTTGGCGTCAAAGACTGTGTTTTTCGGGTTCATCGCCACCTGGTTCTTGGCAGCGTCGCCAATCAGTCGCTCCGACTCTGTGAATCCCACATAGCTGGGCGTCGTCCGGTTTCCCTGGTCATTGGCAATAATCTCCACCTTTCCGTGCTGGTAGACACCCACGCAGGAGTACGTGGTGCCCAAGTCAATACCAATAGCAGGCATTCTGCTGATGTTGTTGCTGTTACTGTTGCTGTTGCTGATTCTGTTTATGCTTTTGATGCGTTGAAAATGTACTGAAACTTTTCTTAATTTCCGCTTTTACTATCGCAAGTAGTTTTTTCTTCTCAATGGGTTTACTATATTTATTTCTTCTTTTCTTTTCAAATTGAGGAAACTGTTTACTTTGTTTTTCACAGTTAGTTTTGGTTTTTCGCTTGTTTTGCTTTTGAGATGTTTTCTCTTCGCTTGTTTGGTTTGAATTGCTGCGAAGAGAAACTGTCGGCTGTATTTATACCCGGCCGCTCTGGCTGCGAAACTTCGAGAGCTCTCTTCTAGAAATATCTTGAATGTTACCCTGAATCGCATGCGTCAGAGCGAGACAACAAGTCTTGGAAGCTGGAAGCAGAGAGAGCACAATGGGTTTGTGTTGGAAGAGAGGGTGAATTGTGAACGAAATTTCTCGACTTTTCTCTCTGCCAATGTACATACTTGACCTACCACAACAAACCGTTTTATTTGGGAATCCAGAAATTTCGATGGAACAAATCAGGAGAAATGTACGGCCAAATAAAGATACTTTTGATTTGGCATTGTTATTATTAAATGAATGGATTAGTTAAATGAAAATCAGTAAGGAGATCAATTTTATGTATTTTTGTGCATATTTATATATGTACATATTACATATCTGTAGATCTTCAGGCATAAGCTGCTGGTGCGGGTAGTTCCCCCCACAGTAAAAGATCTTCAGCAGACCCTCAAGGAATGCGAAATTCATATTCGAAATACAAAAGAATCTCGAAAATTAGGACCACCTTGTTCTTGTGGTGATTCCAATTTCTGGACACTTTATTTTGCACAGAAAGAGCTAAATAACAAAACACAAATTTTAGCGCCAGCCTTATTTTAACGCAAAAAAAAGTTTGATTTCTGCTGTACAGATCTACATACAACAGGTACAATACATATACAAGACATAAATATGTATTGTGGCTTCTTAACCAGGTTCCACTGACCCGAAAATAAGCAATCCCCTCGTCGGTAAGGGGAGACGGCATAGCATTTATCAGCATTTAAAAATGGATCTTATTTAGATTTAGTGAAAGGCATGTACTGCCAGGAGAGAAAGTAGGCCACCAACTTAAAGCAATATTTTGTTCTTTTATTCACTTCATTGTCTCTCGAGAAAAATGTAAGTGCGTATGGTATGTACATATGTTCATTTAGTTGGGGACTTCGTTTAACATTTAATTTTACCTTGAACTTATAATCCATTGTCGGAAGATTATGTTTGTTCAGCCTAAATTTGCTATTGTATGCTGATGAGTAACAGTACTCTGTTGTTAAGATGTTCATGTTAGATGTTTAATTAACGGAATATACATAGGCAGATATCATTATGATTATGATGAATTATGTACACACAAACAAACATACGAATCTGCAATCCAACATAAATTTCTCTTGCATTAAAATAAGGCTGGCGCTAAAATTTGTGTTTTGTTATTTAGCTCTTTCTCTGCCAAATAAA